AGACAGAGGGAGACGGAGGGAGAGAGGGAGGGAGAGAGGGAGCGGGATGGAGGGAGAGACGGAGAGAGAGACGGAGGGGAGAGAGAGAGGGAGAGAGGCGTAGAGAAAGAAACAGAGAGAGGAGAGATAGAGGGAGCTGGAGACAGAGGGAGACGGAGGGAGAGAGGGAGCGGTAGGGAGAGACGGAGAGAGAGACGGAGGGGAGAGAGAGAGGCGTTAGAGAAAGAGACAGAGAGAGGAGAGGTAGATGGAGCTGGAGACGGAGGGAGAGGGAGACAGAGGGAGAGAGACGGAGAGACACAAACACACACACGTAAGCACGCACACAAGCACACACCCGCACGCACGCAAACACACAGAAGCACACGCGTACACACACGCGCACACACACACACCTTCTTGACAGTAGGTTTGTGCCTGCTCTTCTCCCACGGCTTCATTCGGGTCTACAAATCGATCTTTTCACGTTTAGATCACAAGATAATGTAATGTGGAACAGTTTAACATTCAGCTGGTTACAAGTCAGTATATCGACTGATCTTTTCAAGCATTTTGCAAGCACTGCTAGAAATGACAGGAATTCCATGATTTCCATGACATCCCGAAACTAGTCACAAGATCTGCATAACCAAATCAGCATGGTTGGACCTTTCCCCGAGATATCTTCACCTGGGGATGTCATCAACAATCTACAGTAGAATAGATAATGTTAGGAACATCCAAGGTATACAGTAAATTACGGTTATAACGAACTCAAAGGGACCACTAAATTTAGTTCGTTATAACCGTAGTTCGTTACAAGCATATATCCAGCATATTTTTTAACAAATGTCCGGGACTAAAAAATAAGTTCGTTATATCGGTCAGTTCGTTATAAGCGTGTTCGTTGTAAACGTAGATTACTGTATTTTGATGTCGTGTGAATGATTGAAATTAATGAAATGGTTCATTACATCGGGGCACGATGACGCGCATTCAGCCAAGTCCCAGTCGCGTCCTATGACAAGCGAAAACATGCTGGATACCCAGTCTCCCTCGGTGAGGTGAGGTTAAATGGTGTTTAACGTCCAACATTATTGCACTTATATAGCGACGTGTATGCACGTGTGTGTGTGTGTGTGTGTGTGTGTGTGTGTGTGTGTGTGTGTGTGTGTGTGTCTGCTTGTACTAGTCCGGGCTGATGCCGATTTAAAGTGCTAGCTCACTGAGACACCATGCCGCAGTTTAACATGAATACCCCACCCAGACACAGTATACTGACTCCGAGCCGACCAGTCCTTGTTTTAGCCCCTTAATGCCGAGCGCTAGACAGGGTAACAACAAGTACCATCTTGTCGGTATGACGCGACCGGGGGTCGAATCCCGGTCCTTCCGCTCTCCGGGCGGACGCTCTACCACTAGACCACGGAGGCGGTCCAGTCTCCCTCGGGTTTCCATAGGGACATCTCCATGAACATATAAACTACAGGCAGCCTGTTTGTTTTAGAGATTGAGTACGTGAATGCAGGTTAGATATTAGAATAAAATATTCTGTGTACTCTTCCTAGACGTACGTTTTAACATTATCAATACAAAGTGGAAAAAACATTTCCATAATCATATAATAAAACGACAAAACTCTTTGAACGATTAAGACCACGTCTTGAGCATCTGTTTATGAATCATTCTCAAATAATGACGTGCGTGTACCTATTGAAAACCTTTACATTACTATCCACGTCAGTAGCGTATTCGGAGATGTTATGTCAGTCCGTCAGTATCACAACAAAGCGAAGGTCAAAGAAATACTTACGAATGATTTGTAATAGCTAGGACGCTCTGTTGCGCCCGTGTGAGGTTTTCATATGTAACCACCCGGTCTTTGTGTTTGACAGGCGACCGGACCTAACGTGTACCATCTTCTGCCTCTCTTCATTTACATTAAAGTTTGACGAACACGTATTAATAAAACTCCCATTGAAGTTAAGAGGTAGGGTTGGTGCATATGCTCAAGGCGTTAACTTCTCAGCAACGTGTTATTCGTTATAATGAGTACTTCTACATATGATTTGTTTTTTGTGGGTTTTTTGCTTGTTGTTTAATGCCACACTCGGCAATATTACAGCTATATTGCGGTGGTCTGTAAATAATCGAGTCTGGACCAGACAATCCAGTGATTAATATCATGAGCATCGATCGACGCAATTGGGATACGATGACCTGCATCAACCAATCCAGTGAACCTGACCACTCGATCCCGTTAGTCCGTTCTTACTAGCTTGGGTTCATGAAGACCTATTCTCTACCCGGGTCTAACTTCACGAGTTTTGGAAAATAGAATTTTACAATTTATACAAAGCAGGATACTTGAAAACGAAATCGTTTCTAAATTAATTTCTTATATGAACATAAAACGGACAAACAAGTAAAACGTGATAATTATCTTCGATTTTACAAAAGAGAATGCCCACTCATCTCGTGGACTTTGACACTTGAAAATGTCACATCGATGTCTAAACCGTTGGTGAACATAGAATATCAAAGGCAAAACAAAATAGCAGAATTATAAGTATATACATGTAAATCTTTTATCTACATGTAAAGATTTGTACATATAGCCCCCAAAATGATTTCTTTTCAGCGAAGTTATGATATATAATAAGCCTGTTCCAGTTTATCCAGTGTCTTCTCACAGAGGTTACAGATCCTGAATGCGTGCAACAGATCCTGAATGCGTGCAACAGAACCTGAATGCGTGCAACAGATCCCGAATGCGTGCAACAGATCCTGAATGCGTGCAACAGATCCGGAATGCGTGCAACAGATCCGGAATGCGTGCAACAGATCCTGAATGCGTGCAACAGATCCTGAATGCGCACAACAGATCCTGAATGCGTGCAACAGATCCTGAATGTGTGCAACAGATCCTGAATGCGTGCAACAGATCCTGAATGCGTGCAACAGATCCCGAATGCGTGCAACATATCCTGAATGCGTGCAACAGATCCTGAATGCGTGCACCAGAACCTGAATGCGTGCAACAGATCCTGAATGCGTGCAACAGAACCTGAATGCGTGCACCAGATCCTGAATGCGTGCACCAGAACCTGAATGCGTGCAACAGATCCTGAATGCGTGCAACAAAACCTGAATGCGTGCAACAGATCCTGAATGCGTGCAACAGCTCCTGAATGCGTGCAACAGATCCTGAATGCGTGCAACAGAACCTGAATGCGTGCAACAGATCCTGAATGCGTGCAACAGAACCTAAATGCGTGCAACAGATCCTGAATGCGTGCAACAGAACCTGAATGCGTGCAACAGATCCTGAATGCGTGCAGCAGAACCTGAATGCGTGCAGCAGAACCTTATCAATTGACTATTATGTTATTAAATTGTGCTTCTTTATTTTACATTCTCTTTACAATAAATCAACCAGTGACGCGGTGTTTATTGAACAGAAGATATCGCTGCAACATCACGTGCACATATGACGCAAACTGGGGGTAACCAGCTTGTGTAAACGTTTGTCATGCTGATGAGGATACTGACAAGCAGGTACCAACAGTTAAACTGTTCATATTGCTGTGACGACACTTGCGGAAAAATATTTACAGAGCAACAACTGCAAGGGTTAAAGCTAATATTAATGAAGGACTATGTGCGATTTCGCCGGTTTCATCATCTCATGACGTCATAACATCCAGCCGCTGTTTGTTGATGGTAAATATTAAATCGTACGCTGAGTTGAAGTGACAAGTCCGTTTATGTTTTTACCCATATTACATTTTAGCAATATCTCTATGTTAACGCATGTCTAACAAACAGCATAACTTGGACTACCTCCATTGGTTAGTTGACCAGGAAGTTAATGCATCCAGTGTTTTCACTGCATCCTTGACTGGCAACATAGGTTGTGATTGTGCAACATGTGGTTTCCCCACATCTATAGGTAGGGTTCCACAACCTTCTGAAACTTGGACCGTCTCCGTGGCATAGTGGTAGAGGGTCCCGTAGAGCAGAAAGTCGGGGGTTCGATCCTCGTTCGCGCCATACCAAAAGACGTTAAAACATATTACATGTCGTTACCCTAACTGGGGCTCCGTATTAAGGGTCCAAAACAAGGACTGTCTGAGTGGGGTATTCATGTTAACCTGCGGCATGGTATATCTGTGGACTAGCACTATTAACTCGGCATGAGTCCACACCAGTACAAGCAGCCACATTTGTAGCCACCATCCCATAACGGTGTATACTTTGTTTGACAGGCAGTTTAGTTGTGTGTTCACATGTCCGTATATAGAGGTTATCACGCGAGTGTGTTTGGGGATGGTAAATATCCTGCATTAGGAATAAACATTGTATTTAGCGAACCAAAGTTGCCAAAACTTATAAAATGCCTTAGCTACGTCACAGTTAGACACTGATTTTCAGTATATTAGACTGTTCTTTTGATAATGATAGCAATTATCCCTGTAGTTTATCCAGATTCCCGATGGTTAATTCTGACTCGATCGCCGAATGACGAGGACGACGTCATGTTTGTTTATAAACAGTGAAAGTAGTCCCTACTTGACCTTTGATATTTGCATCTCTATCCGCATATGACCCCAACGAATATCGTTTTTATCCGTTGGCATTATCCTGCCGAGAAACCTACCCATTATATGATAAATCACATTATGTCCAAAGTATCTTGAAACGTTACAGCTGTTGTCCTTGCAGCTCGTTTGGAGAGGGATAACATGTTCCTTCAGATCATACTCGAAATAATCAGATTGGATTTTATGCATGGATATAGCTTCACTATACCGACGAGTTAACATAAACATGTAGATGGATGCCAATCATCGGTGTGTGGACAACCATCTGGTGGACTCGCAGATCCAGTACCCTATCTCACGCGACATGGATCCCAGATCTATATTATGGATCCAGCAACACTCTGGAGGACGACCTGGAACTAGCAACACTCTGGAGGACGACCTGGAACTAGCAACACTCTGGAGGACGACCTGGAACTAGCAACACTCTGGAGGACGACCTGGAACTAGCAACACTCTGGAGGACGACCTGGAACTAGCAACACTCTGGAGGACGACCTGGAACAGCAACACTCTGGAGGACGACCTGGAACAGCAACACTCTGGAGGACGACCTGGAACAGCAACCTCTCTGAGGACGTGATCGATACAGCAACTTTCCTGACGGCGTCAATGATCCTGCAACCTATCTGAAAACATCATCCATCTACCTACAAATACTGTAATACAGGGTACAGCCTTACACTTACTTCCACGCCACCCTCTCTCCTTCCTCTCTCTTCTCTCGACCCCTCTTTTCTATCTTCTTTCTCTCTTCTCTCTCGTTCTTCTCTCTGGTTTCTCTCCTGTCTCTCTCTTCAGCTTCTCTTTCATTTCTCTTTGTTCTTTCTCCTCTCTTTTAACTTTGTTCTCTCTTCTCTCCTCTCTTTCTTTTCTCTCTTTGTTCTCTCTCCTCTCGTTCTTTTATCTCTCTCTTCTCTCGACCCCTCTTTTCTCTCTTCTTTCTCTCCTCTCTCGTTCTTGTTTCTTGTTTCTCTCTTCCGCTTCTCTTCCCTTTCTCTTTGTTCTTTCTCCTCTCTTTTCACTTTGTTCTCTCTTCTCTCTCTTCTCTCCTCTCTTTCGTTTCTCTCTTTGTTCTCTCTCCTCTCGCTCTTTTCTCTCTCTCTTCTTTCTCGCCTCTCTTTCTCTCTCTGTGTTTCGTGTTCATTTAAAAATTAAATGCAAAGACACGGATTCAGATACTTAGTTTATATCAATAAATACATGTCAACTCAGAGTCTCACATAACGACTATGTCAGTTACATTTCCGATTGTACTCGAAGCTGGCAAAGCTGCCACACTTGCCTGCCTGGACCAGGTTCCCACTGCCGCACGTACTGCAGTCGCACACCCGTCTCCGCTGACGGCATCCCAGCACACAGCTGCCCCAGGCCCCCCACTGGTGAAACTCACAACTCGAGCCACACACCTTCTCCTCCCCCCACCCCCCAGGGCACCCTCCACCTACTCGCAGACACGCCCTCTTGCGGGTCATCTGTCCGTGGGTACACGCTGACCACGCTGACCAGGCCGACCACACATCTGACTCTCGGTCCCGCCACAAATACAGATTAACTTTGGGCAGGAAACTGCAGGGAGTAATTTTATTCCTGTAACACAAAACGTTAAGGGTTTGCCAGTCACCTTTTTATAATAATCCCTCTATGGTACGACCCAGAATATGTAGAGGGAGTCACTGAAAATGACAAATACAAAATTCTTTGGAATAAGCCCGTATACAGCCTCAGACGTATCCAGGCCAATAAACCTGATCTTGTCCTTTTTGATAAATCCAATGAAATCATTTATATCATTGAATTTTCTGTCCCTTTTGACACTAATGTGATTGACAGGATTTAGGAAAAACATGGCAAGAATGCAGACTTCGCTTTCGAAGTGTCACGCTTACATCCCAAGTACCAAGTTGGCCGACTCCCCATTGTTATCGGTGCCTTAGGTTCGGTACCTCCAAATCTGTTGACTGACATTGGGAGAGTACCCGGGTTTTCTACCAGGAATACAGAACTTCTAACAATCTGGGTAATGCAGAAGGCTTCAGTGTTGGAAAAGTTCTGGGTGGGTTTGAATAGGCAGCGATTCCCGGGAGAAGTCCCATTCGCTGTCTGGGCTGCGTGTAGAGGGGCCAAGGGCCCTGAGCTGATGATGAGCCTAACCATCCTGACTGTGCCAGGGTCACCCAAACCCTTTTTGCTGCATTTTTTATTTTCATCTCTAAATCATCATCATCATCATCATCATCATCATCATCACCATCATCATAATAATAATAAGGCATCAGATGCATTTTGGGGAACCCTTTGTATGATGACGAGGAACTGAATCATCTTCACTCACCCTGGTCCTGTGTTCCTGAAGGCGTTAGGCTGAATCCTGTTGATGTTGGTGTTGTCGCAGACCACGCGGGAGAGAGACGCGTGGCGGAGCTCAGTCAGCTGATCTGAAAGGAAGTAAAGAAATACCTAATACACGTTACTACATTTCAGGAGAAGTCAGGATTAGTTTAGTTGACAGAATCATCTGATGTTCACAATGGGTTTACATACCTGGAGTAAACCTGACGACATCATCATTCGTCTCATACCAGAATCTGTCGCCCATTTTCAGCAGTTCAAACTGACGGCCAACAATACAGGAGAATGTGTTCCCTAAGAGACCTCCACCAACTGGGCGTTCAGACACGCCCCCGGAGAACAGGTCGATGTCTTCAGGAGAACTATAACACGTAAACAGAGTTTACAACAACCAGTGTCACAAGGGAAAAAAATAATATAAATATACATGTGTGCATGATTTTCAACAATTGATTACGCTAAGTACAACTTTAAGATGTGTTATCACTGTCTCTGCTCTTCTCCAGCAGGTGAATCTATGTGCCTTCCCTTGGCCCCAGATATCCCTTCCATAACTCCATGCAACACCTCCCCTGATCCCGTAACCTTACCATATACTATTATTCCCATCGCGACAAAGGAGCACCTTTCCCTTCTTTAGATTATCACGGGATCTCAGCATCAGACCCTTTTTATCTTCACTTCTCACATATACCTGTACAGCATTTGTAGAGCAGCTGCAGCATCATCAGGATGATCCACAAGGCCTTCAGGGCTGGTTTTAAAATCTTCAGCTTCTGGGAGTCCACACCATCTCCGCCAAGCATTGTACCCTGGTAGGCCATGGTCGCGGCCACGTTGAATGTTTAAAGACATCAGATCGAGACTGTTACCTTCATCATCTGGGAAGAGGAAGTCTGTAAGCTCAGGGGTGATGTGTCTGTCAACAGAATTGGCCCTATCAACCAGCAGCCCTCTTGTTAGCTCATTTACAGCATCACCAGCGGATGAAAGAATTATGGATGTGTTTCCAAATGAGTCCCTGAGCTTGAGGTCGCGTCCTCTCTTATAACCCCTGTTTGGGCGACTAAAGAAGGATCTTATCATAGAGTGGCCGAAGCGGTAGGCAGCTGTAGCAAAGGCATTGCGAACACTGGCATCAATACTGGCATTGTAAATATTAACAGGACCAGTCGATGGTCGGAGCCCAAACTTGGTGAGAAACTTGGGTGAGAGGACGAGGGGAAGGAAGTCGGCGTAGGAGATGTGCTGTATCATGGCTCCCAGAATCCTCCTGGTTTCCTGGAAGAGCCGCTCATCATCCCATTGAGGGTTGATACGTGCAAGCCTCCTGGCCACTCTGTTGTGTTCCCGCAGCCAGATGGTGTGCATACTTGCCAGAGACATGTGCTCGTCCACTCTCTCGTCACCTGTACACAGACAGTAGAAGACTCTGACCTCTCAATACAATTGGAGTCGGAATGAAAAGTGTCTTTTTGTAAGGTTTATTTAAGTGAGAATCGTTCATCAAATTATGCCTGGTTGATGGCTGATATTTCTTATGTCCAATCAGTTTTCTTGGATACCTCTTAAAGTTTATCTCTAGATTTATATACAAGTAAAGAAATCGTGTGACAGAATTACTTTGTTGAGAATAAGTGAATCTCTCAACATATTGGCGATGAAAATCTCTTTTTGCTAAAAATAAAAAAAAAGGCTGAGTGATATGTATTCTCAAGAGTGGCATGACTCTATTTCTTCATCAAAATATCTGGCACATTATGCAAATTTGAAATCACTTTTACAGACAGAATTTTACATCAGTAATCTCACGAATAAGTCACTCAGGAGAGCATATTGTAAATTCAGAATATCGCTACACGGTTTTAAGATTAACATGCTACGAAAGTCAAAACATACAAATGAAGACTTGAGTCTATATCTATGTACCCACTGTAAAGGGAGGCAATTAGAGGATGAATTTCATGTGTTGTTTATATGTTCAAAATATTCTTCTGTCAGAAACCACTATTTGCCCTGGTTATCCAATGTCCATCATGATAATCACAGTTTATGTAATCTACTCAACTCCAAAAATATCAACATTGTAAAGGCTTTGACCTTATACTTAAATCATGTATTTAATGTGAAATACGACTACTTGTATTTATTTTCCTGACATCACGTGACGCAGCAATTACTGTAATTGTAATTGTACTCTAGGCCACATGGGGGGCGGTCGGGTAGCCTAGTGGTTTAAGCGTTCGCTCGTCACGCCGAAGACCCGGGTTCGATTCCCGACATGGGTACAATGTGTGAAGCCCATTTCTGGTGTCCCCCGCCGTGATATTGCTGGAATATTGCTAAAAGCGGCGTAAAACCATACTCACTCACTCACTCTAGGCCACATGGCCCAAAATACTGAATAAAGAATCTTGAATCTTGAATCTTGAATGGTCAAAACATAACAGATGATGTATCTCGAACATAACTTAGAACATAATGTTACAATCATATCAGATGAACTAATATATTTTCATCTTGTATTTCTCTCGTCACCTCTGCACCTCTGCAGGGATTCGCTGTGCAGAGTTGCGTCCCTTGGGCACGCCAGAAACCTATGATTGTGGGTTCTAATCCCGGTTCGCCCCGATTATGTTTGTAGGTTTGTCAGCACCATACCCGTGCTCGTGGGTTTCACCGAAGTGGTAAACGTCTGAGACCTGCATTACTTAGGGCTTTCCTCCCACATTAAACTGACATGCCGTGATATATCTGGAATACTGTTAAAAGCGGCGTTAAACCCAACTCACTCACTCACTCACTCACTCACTCACTCGTCACCTCTGCACAGACACTGACAATGTCACGAAAGTGTAGGTGTAGGAGTGATTGAGACATCTGCTTCAGTCTCACTCATTAGCAAATGTAACCAGTGATGATATAAGTTTATGATATGCACAGTACGAGATACTTATGGTGTGGTAAAACTGAAAGTCTACACATACCAGCCCGAAAACAAAAGTTTGGTGCCGTGAACGTGATGCAGTCTGTCACAGAATTTCTGGGCAGCAGTTCTGGATTGTCAGATGATGTTCTAAGCAATCCTGTAAAAATGTGTAATTACAAACAATGTATGATATAAGAATGCCTTTGACAATCTTCAAATGAAATATATATGACATAGACGCATTAATATATCTGTTATTAATCCTTGATATGTCACATATGGTCTCAATGAATTCGAGTCCACTATTTACCTGTGTAGACATTGCCACCCACACAGCCATTGCAACGTCTTATCATTTAATATGTACGATAATTCTTCAACAAAGAAAGTGTACAAACTGCACCACCCGACCACCCGACCACCCGACCATCCGAGAGTCGTCTAAGGCGCCGCAATTCGCTGTAACAAATTGCGTCCCTTAGGCACGCCAGAAACCTATGATTGTGGTTTCGAATCCCGGATCGTCCCGATTATGTTTCTAGGTTTGTCTGCACCATACCCTGATCGTGGCTTTCACCGAAGTCGTACATTTCCGAGACCTGCTTAAATTCGTGCTTTCCACCGAATTAAGCTGACACGCCGTGATATGACTGGAATAGAGTTCAAAGCGGCGTTAAACCCACTCACTCACTCACTCACTCTCATTGTATGCTTGTCGTGTGCCATACCTCCCTTGGTATCGCGGAGTTCATGCTGCTCCTCTTCTGTGGAGCCATACACCTGCGACGCATCAATGTAAGCCGTCAGTTGGTTCAGCTGCTCTGCTGGAACTACAAGAAGAAGGAGTACATTGTCGAATTAAGCACCATGTAACAAAAATCAGCATATATAAGCTAGCTACGCGAAAAATCGCAAAGAACGAAGCATGTTTATTTCACGATAAGAGATTGTTTTATCGTTACTTCATTTCTGGGGATTTGAATATGCTCGCAACTCGTGTATACTGAACGACGTTATTTTGGGGTGGGAAGTGAGAGGTAAAAAAACCACCAGGGCCCAACGATCGCTTCCAAAAGTGGAAGAAATTTAACAATCGGTAAGGGGAAAAGGTACAGATAATCAACGTGAAATTTGTAAGAATGTGCGGGAAATACTAAACTTAACCCCCCTGTCCCGATCCTATTCAGGGAATCATTATTATTCAAATACGGGTAAACAGTTTTAAAGGTTGTACATTTTCTTATCATCCTTAAAGGGTCTGTACAAAATGTTGATATCTAATATCTGAATGCGCCCCTCATGGTTTATCCTCCCTGCAGTGATTTATTTTACGATTTTACATTTATTTGCAGACAACATAATTGCACTGATATAAATCAAACTGTCCCTTTGTATTTGGGGGTCTTCTCAACAACTTACTCCAACCACAGTGACCGCAACATTAACACCGTCTCCCATGTACTTTATTTATTATTTACTTCGTATGTACTTGCTGTTATCCTTACATAATTTATCATCAATATCATCACCCCACTTACGATAATATGTGTCCCCATATCACGACGACGTATAATAAATAATAAATGTATAAGTGTGTGTGTGTGCGTGCGTGCGTGCGTGCGTGCGTGTGTGTGTGTGTGTGTGTTTAAGAAATAATGTTTGATCTACCCTCACGTGTAGTGTAATAAAGTATAGTTTTGCCCTTATTTCTGCAGTTGTATAAGCATTGAATATATAATAACAGACCAGATTTTCGTGCTGGTCAAAACGCCTTAATACACACAAGATCTTCGCCGCTCAACGACACTTCGGGTGTAATGAAAACGTAGTCATAGGTGACAGGCAACATCAGTATGTGTGTGTCTGAGTGGGGTATCCATGCTAACTGCAGCATGGTATCTCTGTGGGCTACCTGTATAAGACCAGCATTAGTCCGGGCAAGTGCAAGCACAAACAAAAGTACAACTACACGCACGCACGCACGCACGCACGCACGCACGCACGCACGCACACACATATGCATGGACGTCGCGCACATATCATGTATGATGAGACTCCCCAAACAAATATGTAACGTTATACTTACCTATACCACAGTTTTCATTAGCGACTTGCAGTGAACGGACAAAGTTGAGACATGTGCGTCTGAACCTGCGATCTCCTGGTGGAACTTCAATAGGGAAGCATTCATGCCTGGCAGAATGGAGAGGTAAGTGGAGGATTGTGTTTCTGAATGTCTTCGTGAAGCTCTACTGCTTTCATTCTAAATGTTTTCATTCTTGTTAACAACCATAAACTTAAATTGATTTTCTGTGTGACAATATATTTATCAAGTTTGTGAAATATCATCTGTTTTACCCTCTGCCTTCGTTTACCTGTTGGTGAGGTTCATGGCAGCAGTTGGAATACCCCTTTTGACATCCTCCTCACAACATACTATGGCGGCTCCATCTGTGCCTGAAACACCAACATACATTTTAAGTTAATGTTTGCAACATATCACATCACGATCGCCTAACAAGATTCGCATCCCGTGAAGATTCGGGTAGAGAATAGGTCTTCAGCAACCCTGGCATGCCGTAGGAGGCGAGTATGCTTGTTGTAAGAGGCGACCGGGATCGGGTGGTCAGGGTCGCTAAGTTGGTTGATGCATGTCATCGCTTCCCTATTGCGTGATGCTCATGATGTCAATCACTAGATTATCTGGTCCAGACTCGGGTACTTACAGACCGCCGTCATACAGCTGGAATATTGCTGGAGGCGGCGTAAAACAACAAACAAACAAACACCAAGAAATATAATCTCTACTAACCTCGTTCAATGGCAGTGTTTGCGAAGTCGTGATCCAGAAACTGAGCCCACTGCATGACCATGTGTGTGACGTCACTCCGTGACGTGGCGTCGACGTCAGCAGTATGCAGTGTAGTGCTCACGAGTCGTGGGCTTACCAGAGGACTGACCTCACTTCCCTTAGTTCGCGGTAAAGATACGCCTGCAGCAAGACACAAACCCTTAATATGACCTGACAATCATATTGCCGAATGATGCCCCATTGTCTCAAATAATATCCCTATGATGCAAATGATCCGTGGCTAAAGTTATTTGTGTATACACTAGTTTTAGCAGATTTTTTCTATATTATGAAATGGGGTGGGGTATCCTTGTGGTTAAAAGCGTTCGGTCGTCACGCCGAAGACCTGGGTTCGATTCCCCACATGGGTACAATGTGTGAAGCCCTTTTCCGGTGTCCCTCGCCTTGATATTGATGGAATATTGCTAAAAGCGGCGTAAAACCCCACTCACTCACTGTCAATATCATTAAATGTTTTGAGTGTGTTTCGATTAGGTTTACTGGCTATCCAATGTAATCTTCACATCGACAGTGTTACAAAATCATGTATAGAACTCACCATCGCCATACTGAGGCAGAAGGAACCTCCTCATTGGGATGAAGCTCTTTCCCCAGTCAGGATGTCGGATGTTGTTACAGCTGCCGTCCGCTGACCGGAACATGTCGGTCTTGTTACACACCACGGAGCTTTTACAGTTGTCACTAACAACGTTGATTGACAGTACTTTCATATTAACGCTCGAGCATCACAAGTGTTTTGATAAGATATAAAACAATCCTTTAAAGTAAATTAATAATTTGTCGAAGTTTGAAAATAGAAAATGCTTTGAGATTTCTGTTTGATTCATCTGCATGGACGCGAGAATATCGCGTCTTGCCTACACTGTCGTTGACAATACGCGCTGTCATTGACAACGTGGATGAAGATTGATAGTACGTGTAGGTGTGAAGGTAACGAATCAAAGCTGTTTATATGATCATGAGATGTCATATATTTATTTTCTTAAAAGCGTGCAATAAATCATAAGTGCAGATTACTTTTTTGTAACTTAAATTTAGATATTTGTAAAAATCTAAAAAGTTGGAACGTCAGTAACCTGAAAACCCAATCAATCATGCCATGCACACCACACGTCCTTACTCTTTCAGCTGCTTATATCCAGGATACTATCAATAGTTTTAAATTACAATTTTCACCTATATCGGATAGTCCTCAGTGCATCAAAGATTGGTTTTAATATCTTTATCACTGGAGAATACGGACAATTGTATCAAGTTAAAAGTTAATGCCTTAGGGTATCACGAGAATGAATCCACTTTTGACGTTGATCTTTGTATTCAACACGTTACAATTAAGAGCTACGATTAATCACATTAACAGACTCCAGATTCCAGACTTTCACACGTTCCAGTATTTCATTGGTATTTCAAGGGTTTGTTGCAGCAGCATGTTAATATTTTGTTACTGCATTATGCCAAATTAATCATTTCCTCAAAGAAAAACAACTTACACCAGTGTGGATTCGGCTGACTTGTCCAGTGACATCACTGAGAGCAGCTTCTCTCTGTATGTTTGGCCAAGTTGGATCGCCTTCGGCTTTGTTGGAGTGAAGGATGCATGTTGTTCTGTTGTTGAGGTCCCTCCGAGTCGGTCAATACCTGCAGTATGGCACTACTAAGTTAGTTCCAGTGCCTCTGTGGGTGCAGGTAGGACGTCACATACTCACATGCATCGCCCCGTGGCGAGTTAACAGAGGTAACTGCCTATACAAGTCCAGTTCCAACCCTTGCCGAACTAGGCTGGTATTCTAGAGTTACATTATGGCGGGACTAACGAGTTTGTGCATAGCCCAAGTAAAGTCGCGTAATCAACTACATGAATTTCAACGTGCAGATTTCGGTCGATTTGCAAAGCCTAAGTACCGCCAACTCGTTTTATTACAATAAAGATCTTGATTATCGATCAGATCGTTTTGACTGGGCGCTGCCATTTTGATTAAAGCAAAATTTATGCAAGTGATATGGGTGATGGAATCTGACTGGTCAGTAGGAGGGACTGTCACATAGAAAGGACATAACTGTAATGACCACTGGTGGCCCTACGTTCGAGCCCGAGAATTCCAGCCTAGTTCAGCATAGGTTTAAACTGGACATTTGTAGTCAGTTAACGCCCTTGCCTCGGGAAGATGACTCACATGTTCCGCGACCATTTGGTATCATAATGTTCAGTTTACAATTGCCAATACTCCTCCATATGTGCCTAAATTGAATTATCGAGGTAAATGGGAAATCGTTCGATACTTACTTCCTTTTGCAGTTATTTGAAAGTTGCGATAATCGTCCCCGTCATTCGATTGTTGTACCATAATATTAAATAAACTGCTGGACAAAAAAATATACACTTGAAAACTGGATTTGACCATAAAACTACTGTATCAAAACGTTACTAGGCTGAAAACAGTCACCTAAACACTACAGACTTAAAGCCCAAAACATAACTATGATACTCGTGTCAAATACATCGACATTGAATAACCATTTCTTGTTTGTTTCATTCCTAGCTACCATCAAACCTGTGTGTATACTTTCTTTTAGCCGGTAGTTTATTTGACCAAGAAATAAACATTCACTTGCATTCATGTTAACTCCTTGTCCTAATATGGCTTCTTGATGACGAGGGCTAAATTTGAGAACATATGTGTATACTCACCTAATTGTAGGTAGTGCAGGTTTTGTTGTCGTTCAGCCAAGGCCGCCTCAGCGGCAGTGGATTGGACTGCAGCAGTCTTTTTTATTGCCAATAGAACAATGACCAGGAGAAGGAACCTTTCCCCCATGTCTGGCGACACAATACTTAGAGTACAAGCGGACAGTATCTGAAGGACTTATACATACATGGTCTCTGGAAAACATGGCACCGTTCTATAATGTGAAACCTCATCTGAACCATAACAAATAATGTTTGCAGGTCTGCCGGTGGTCCGGAGCATCGACAGACACAATTTGACATATTCTGCTTCTTTAAAGCAGCAACAGACAACGGGTGTTGTATATTAGATTGTTGACGGATGATGTATATGTGTTTAAATCTTGCATATAAGGTGTATTGAAATGTTGTATATGGTGGGTGAGTGAGTTTGATTTTACGCCGCCTTTAGCAATATTCCAGCAATATCACGACAGGGGACACCAGAAATGTGCTTCACACATTGTATAGGTTGATAGATGAATAGATGGATAGATCATGCGTTGAAATTTATAAAGGATGTGTTGACATGTATATAGGATGCGTTGGCGGATGTTGTATATAGGACGTGTTGACATGTATATAGGATGTTGGCGGATGTTGTATATAGGATGTGTTGATATGTATATAGGATGTGTTGGCGGATGTTGTATATAGGATGTGTTGACATGTATGTAGGATGTGTTGGCGGGTGTTGTATATAGGATGTGTTGGCGGATGTTGTATATAGGATGTGTTGACATGTATATAGGATGTGTTGGCGGGTGTTGTATATAGGATGTGTTGGCGGATGTTGTATATAGGATGTGTTGACATGTATATAGGATGTGTTGGCGGATGTTGTATATAGGATGTGTTGACATGTATGTAGGATGTGTTGGCGGATGTTGTATATAGGATGTGTTGACATGTATGTAGGATGTGTTGGCGGATGTTGTATATAGGATGTGTTGACATGTATATAGGATGTGTTGGCGGATGTTGTATATAGGATGTGATGACATGTTGTATATAGGATGTGTTGGCGGATGTTGTATATAGGATGTGTTGACATGTATATAGGATGTGTTTGCGGATGTTGTATATAGGATGTGATGACATGTTGTATATAGGATGTGTTGGCGGATGTTGTATATAGGATGTGTTGACATGTATATAGGATGTTGGCGGATGTTGTATATAGGATGTGTTGATATGTATATAGGATGTGTTGGCGGATGTTGCATATAGGATGTGTTGATATGTATGTAGGATGTGTTGGCGGATGTTGTATATAGGATGTGTTGACATGTATATAGGATGTGTTGGCGGATGTTGTATATAGGATGTGTTGACATGTATGTAGGATGTGTTGGCGGATGTTGTATATAGGATGTGTTGACATGTATATAGGACGTGTTGGCGGATGTTGCATATAAGATGTGTTGGCGGATGTTGTATATAGGATGTGTTGACATGTATGTAGGATGTGTTGGCGGATGTTGTATATAGGATGTGTTGACATGTATATAGGACGTGTTGGCGGATGTTGCATATAAGATGTGTTGGCGGATGTTGTATATAGGATGTGTTGACATGTATGTAGGATGTGTTGGCGGATGTTGTATATAGGATGTGTTGGCGGATGTTGTATATAGGATGTGTTGACATGTATGTAGGATGTGTTGGCGGATGTTGTATATAGGATGTGTTGACATGTATGTAGGATGTGTTGGCGGATGTTGTATATAGGATGTGTTGACATGTATGTAGGATGTGTTGGCGGATGTTGTATATAGGATGTGTTGGCGGGTGTTGTATACAGGATGTGTTGCAATTTAGATAGTATGTGTTGACTGATGTTGTATAAAGTATGTGATGACATGTTGTATATAGGATTTGTTGACATGTTGTTTATAGGTATGTTTACACGTTGTTTAGGATGTATTGACATGTTGAAATTTTTATATGGGGCGTACAAAACGGATATACAAAACCAACCTATATTAGTACACATGCCTCGAAGGATGTTATTCTACTTCCACGGGAACTTGTGTGTGTGTGTGTGTGTGTGTGTGTGTGTGTGTGTGTGTGTGTGTGTGTGTGTGTGTGTGTGTGTGTGTGTGTGTGTGTGTGTGTGTGTGTGTGTGTGTGTGTTGGTGGGTGGGGATGATACTACCCACACTACCCAGAAAACAAGAAAACATGATACTTGGATTTATCTATCACTTTGTTTACCTCGACATCAACATACATATGCGAGTAACATGGTTCAGACATGTTTCGTGCACATTCAAGTTCGACGTTCAAACAACCTGAATGGGTTCTTTTCATTTACAGGAGAACAAGACCCAAAATCTCCAATAACATAAAACACTTTGATCTAACCTGGATTATTTAGATTAGGGCAAGATAAGAACCATACTTTACCTTCGTATAATATGCCCCTGCAGAATTAACCACACATACAGAGATATTTCCTTAAGGGAACCTTATCCTTTCTACGTGAGGGTCTCTGATTGGCTAATAATTTCTGAATGTCACGTGTGTAATATGACCCATCCTCATACGTCATCGATGACTCATTACCAGCTACTTCTGAGGACAATGCTTGACAATGTGTCAATTGCGAGGAGATGTACGTAAATATACTTAATATATTGTAGATGCAGGTCACAGAATTAAGAGATTAAAAATGCAACATCATTTATGACTATGACGGAGCGATGGGATGGTGTATGCTAGCGGTCGACGTTCGATGCACTAAGTACCTCGCGGCTAAATATATAATTTAGCTCGTTTGTTTCCTTCATAAAAAAATATCCTAGAGTACCGAAATCACGATGTGTAACCTTGACACCGTTGTCCATAACTTGAATTAAGAGATATATCCTCATTTATGTTAAACATAGGACCACTTTGTACACCGTAATGAACACGTTAAATATATGACCACTTTATACATCGTAATGGGCATGTTAAATATAGGACCACTTTATATATCGTAATCGACATGTTAAACGTAGGACCACTTCATACATCGTAATGGGCATGTTAAATATAGGACCACTTTATATATCGTAATGGGCATGTTAAATATAGGACCACTTCATACATCGTAATGGGCATGTTAAATATAGGACCACTTTATATATCGTAATGGGCATGTTAAATATAGGACCACTTTATATATCGTAATCGACATGTTAAATATAGGACCACTTCATACATCGTAATGGGCATGTTAAATAAAGGACCACTTTATATATCGTAATGGGCATGTTAAATATAGGACCACTTTATACATCGTAATGGACATTCTAAATATAGGACCACTTCATACATCGAAATGGACATGTAAAATATAGAAACCACTTTATATATCATAATGGACATGTTAAATATAAGACCACTTTGTACATCGTTATCGACATGTTAAACGTAGGACCACTTTTTACATCGTAATGGACATGTTAAATATAGGACCATTATATACACCATAATCGACATTTTAAACAGAGCCCCACTTTTTACATCGTAATGGGCATGTTAAATATAGGACCACTTTATACATCGTAATGGGCATGTTAAATATAGGACCACTTTATACATCGTAATGGGCATGTTAAATATAGGACCACTTTATACATCGTAATGGGCATGTTAAATATAGGACCACTTTATACATCGTAATGGGCATGTTGAATATAGAACCACTTTATACATCGTAATGGGCATGTTAAATATAGGACCACTTTATACATCGTAATTGACATGTTAAATACCATGGCCGTTGCCATGATGCGTTTGGGCGATCGGTTTTATTGTCATCTGCTTTGTTTTTTATCATCAAATTTCATTTTTCCAGACAAAGTAATGTTAAATTGTAGAAACTTTGAAATAAATAACCCAGATATATAACTGACAACTTTTCATGCATTGTTACATGGGGTGACGTTTCTTTTGCGGTTCAGTACTATATAAATCGTAATTGACATGTTAAACAGAGGACCACTTTATACACCGTAATGGGCATGTTAAATATAGGACCACTTTATACATCGTAATGGGCATGTTAAATATAGGACCACTTTATACATCGTAATGGGCATGTTAAATATAGGACCACTTTATACATCGTAATGGGCATGTTAAATATAGGACCACTTTATACATCGTAATGGGCATGTTAAATATAGGACCACTTTATACATCGTAATTGGCATGTTAAATATAGGACCACTTTATACATCGTAATTGACATGTTAAACAGAGGACCACTTTTTACATCGTAATTGACATGTTAAATACCATGGCCGTTGCCAAGATGCGTTTGGGCGATCGGTTTTATTGTCATCTGCTTTGTTTTTTTATTATCAAATTTCATTTTTCCGGACAAAGTAATGTTTAATTGTAGAAACTTTGAAATAAAATACCCAGATATATAACTGACAACTTTTCATGCATTGTTATATGTGGTGACGTTTCTTTTGCGGTTCAGTATTATATAAATCGTAATTGACATGTTAAACAGAGGACCACTTTATACATCGTAATGGGCACGTTAAATATAGGACCACTTCATACATCGTAATGGGCATGTTAAATATAGGACCACTTTAAACACCGTAATGGGCAAGTTAAATATAGGACCACTTTATACATCGTAATGGGCATGTTAAACACAGGACCACTTTATACATCGTAATGGGCATGGTAAATAAAGGACCACTTTATACATCGTAATTGACATGTTAAACACAGGACCACTTTTTACATCGTAATTGACATGTTAAATACCATGGCCGTTGCCATGATGCGTTTGGGCGATCGGTTTTATTGTCATCTGCTTTGTTTTTTTATCATCAAATTTCATTTTTCCGGACAGAGTAATGTTAAATTGTAGAAACTTTGAAATAAAATACCCAGATATATAACTGACAACTTTTCATGCATTGTTATATGTGGTGACGTTTCTTTTGCGGTTCAGTACTATATAAATCGTAATTGACATGCTAAACACAGGACCACTTTATACTGTACATGTTAAATGCTGTACATGTTAAATATAGGACCACTTTGTTCACCGTGGTGCACATGTTAAATATAGGA